AAAAAAAAAAAAAAAAAAAAAAACCCATTTCACTTTGTCTGATCTAGCGTTCCCCAATCTGAACTTGGCCACTGCATCCCTTCCCATGGACTTTGTTGAGACATGCTGTGTGGTCTTTCCATTCATCAGCAAATGAGGGAGTCCTCTGCCAGCCCAGCACTGAAAGTGCACTGCTGAGGGGACAAGTGCACTGCTGAGGCAGGCACAGCACCCACTGGAGCCTCTTACCAGATAATCTACAGCGTGGCTTCCGCCCTGGACTCAGCCCTCCAGGCAGGGCTTGGCCTTCCCTGACACCCTGTCCTCCCAGCCACGAGGCCTCAGTCCTGTCTCCCACCCCACCGCTGGCAGGACTCTTGCCTCAACGCTTGTGCTGTCTCCCAAAGATAGTCTCGAGTTTAGAAGGTTCTAAATGAAACGAAATCCTATTGCCTGTAACGTCCACCTGGGGTCCCAGGAGGATATCTTGAGCACAGTCTCATTACTGGCCGTTGAAGAGGTGCAGGTTGGTGTGGGGAACACGTGGGGCTGAGTTAGGAGTCTGGGGGCTGGTTCTGTCTGGGTCACTGGCTTGCTCTGTGACTTTGAGCAAGGTGCTTCCCTTTCTGGCCTTTAGCTTCCTTGTTTGAAAAGGCAGGAGGAACCCATTGAGCTGTAAAGTCCCTCTGAGGAGTCCCTGGGCCAAAAGGTCCACGCTGTCAGCTGTGGAGTTACCCAGGGTGTTACAGGGACAGGGGATCCTTTCGCTTGTTCATACTGCATGCGTCCACTGTCCGCCACACCAGTGCTCCTTGAGCAGTCCTGTGCTGGGCACTGTCCTCAGACTTGTGAGCCAGGAGTTCCATGTGGCACCCTGAGAGCTGGGAAGAGGTGGACATGAAGTGCCACAGGAGTCCCTCATCTGTCTGAGAGTCTGGATAGGGTCTAACCAAAGAGGACCCTTGGCCTCCACTATGTGGGGGAGTTATTCCCCAAATACTGTGTGTCAATTCAGACAGCAGTCCTGACCCCTGCACAGGAGTCCCAGGGCCTCAAGTTCTGGGGGCTGGACAGGGGTATACTGGGGAGATGTGTTCTCTGTCTCTTGAAGGGTGACCCCCACCAGCATGCCAAGAGCAGTGGGACTTCCCAGACCTCAAAGCCACACTTCCACTTCTGTTCGTTTGGCCAGAGGCAGCAGTTAATTTTGGTTTTTAGCAACCGCAGCACACTGTGCTCCTCTGTTCACAGCTGCCAAGGGAAGTGGAGAGGCCACTGCACGCCCAGAGAGCCTGCCCCTGCCTGATGCCCCCTCCCCCAGTCCATGCGGGCTCCTGGCCTGGGTGCAGACCCAGCAGGACAGATAAGAGGAGCCAGCCCTGGGCCTGGTGCTATGCTAGACCTGCTGCCTGGACCGCAGGTCTGGACTAGCAGTATTGGGGGTGTCCACCGCATAGGCACATTGCCCCTGCCCCCAACCCCCAGCCCTCATAGAACTGCTGTCCTCGGGGGTTGGGGGTTACACTTCCCCAGGGCTGTCAGGATTATGATGGAGTCCTAGTGCCTCAGCCCCACCCCAAGGCTTCTTGGAAAGTCCTTTTGGTTTGGGGAGGGAGCAAGGAAGCTTTTAGAACCCCAGAAATCACACCATGCACCCACCTGCTTTGGATGGAAGCCTCTACCTGGAGGGCAGTGCTGATATGGCCACAAATGAGCAATTTGTCAGTGTCTAAAATGGGATGTTTTTGTTCCTGTGGCCCCACGTCTAACCCCTGCTACCACTGCCTCGGCTCTCTGCCCACATCCTGCTCAGAATTCACCAGGAGATGCTACCCAGACTGTCAGGTCTTCACAGACAAATCTGTACCGGGGGTGCAGGGATCCTTGAAGGAGCCACAGGAGTTAAGGCTGGGGCAAGGGCCAGCATTTCCGGAGTTTCCAGGCAGTGCCATCTGGCACAGCAGGAGAACAAGTGTGGGCTTTGGGGCCTGTCAGATCTGCTTTCTAACTCCCACTTAACCAACTAGGGACCTTGGACCAGGAGTCTGCTCACCTGTAAAATGGGTACAATGATACCAATCTCACTGGAGGATGTGCTAAAGCACATGACAGTAAGTCCTATTGTCCCAAGGCAGCTAAACACATTTAGGGGATAACTGAAGCAGGAATGGGAGTAAAGAGTCTTTCCAGGCCTAACTTTTGGCAGGCTTAATAATGACGATAAGAAACAGTGCCAAGCACTTTTCTAAGCGTGTTACATACATTAACTGTTTTAATCCAACAACCTGTGAGGAAGGACACTGAGGCTCAGACAGGTGAACTGTCTTGCCCAAGGTCACCCAGCTAGCGAGAGAACAGGCTGGTGAGTTCCATCCACACCCTTAAGTTCCATTCTTCTTGTCCTCTGGGTTGGAGGTTAAGTGTCCGCTGATGCGATGTCATCACTTGCCATGCAAATCAGCTGCGTTTATCGCACTCCTGTGACTGTGGCACAGTGCTGGGCCCCAGAGGATTCAGCATGAGCCAGATAAGACCCAGGACCTCCGTGGGAGGAGACCCAGCTTGGCAGAGATCCACCCAAGTCAACAGGCCCCTTGATTGAGGAAGGGCCCCAGGAGGGATTTGGCTGGTGAACTCTGAAGTTCCCCTTCTGTGTTTGCAGTTGTAAAAAGCCATGATCCCACCACAGACTGACTGAAACTCCTGGGTCCATAAGTCTCTGATTATAACGTTCTTTAAAGGAACAACCAATGGGCCGGCCCGTGGCTCACTCGGGAGAGTGCGATGCTGATAACACCAAGGCCACGGGTTCGGATCCTACATAGGGATGACCGGTTGGCTCACTGGCTGAGCGTGGTGCTGACAACACCAAGGCAAGGGTTGAGATCCCCTTACTGGTCATCTTTTTAAAAATAAAATAAAGGAACAACCTATGATCCAACTTTTGGGGCTTCCAACCTTCTATGATTCAACATCCAAGTGTGACAAGGGATGGCCTTAAAATGTACCCGTCACGCAGCCAAGAGGCAAAGGAGCCCCACCTGGGTCAGACCCAGAACAGGGTGTCCCAGATACCTGGGTCTGGTTGGAGCCCACATGGACTGACCCCTCCCCAGGTCAGAGCTGGGGCTCAGGTCTGAGCAAGCTTAGGAGGGACAAGCCTGTTCAAGCCTGAGCAGACCTTATCCTCAGGGACCTTCAGACCAGCTAGGAAATTGGACAAGCCCAGGCCCAGCGTGATCCAAGAGGCTGGGCTGGAACAGGGAGGGGGCACCTTGTAGTCCAGAGACTTCCCAAGGGGCAGGAGGAGTGGCACCTGGTGTCAAGCTGCTGGCTGGGAATCTTCAGCTTCCTATTGCTGTACTAGTAGTTTGTGCCCATTGCAGAGAGAGGGAAAACTGAGTCACAACTAAGTTCTGGGATCTGCTGAGTGGGAAGGTGGGGAGGCCAGGACCAAAACCCAGACACTCCAAACCGCAGCCCCAGATTTGAAGAAGCCAGGTCTATACCAGACTCTGGTGTCTCCCTCTGAGGCATTCCCCAAGCCCTGCCCCCTTTCCAGAATCCCCTCCTGGGGTTCTCTTGCCATGCCATTGGCAATAACTGGCCAGCAGCCTGCCTGCTGAGGAAAGGTAGGGAACCCTGCCTGGCCTGAACCTTTGATCCTCGAGCCTCCCAACTTTCAGCCAGGATTCCAGCTGAGAGGCTCTGGATCTAGCAGCAGTAACTTGAGGTTCCCTTCTCAGCTCCTCCCACCCTCCCAGTGAGAGTCACTATGTACCTGGCCCTGTGCTGGTCAATGGGAATGTGGGGGAGACTGAGGTCCTGCCTTTGAGAAATGCTCAGTCTGTCCACTCACACACAGTAGGTGCTCAAGTAGTCACAAACTGAAGTGGAACTAACAAAGCCAAGTGCAGTGGGTATGGCTGGATTCTGCTGTACTCCCATCTCCACCACCCTTGGGCTCCGATGCCTGAGGGCCGCATGGGGCCAGGGTAAGGAGCCTACTGTTTGTTTCCCAAAGGCTCTGTACTCACTAGCAGTTACTGAGCACTTACCATATGTCCAAGTGTTTGGGGTGGAGGGCCAAAGAGAGAACTCCTACTGGTTTGAGGGGGTCAGAGCGGCACCAACCGCTCTGACCCCGTCAAACTAAAGCCTGAGGAGGTTTGCCAGGAGGAATGAGAGGAGGGCTTTACAGATGGAGGAAACTGTCCGTGATAAGGCCAGGAGATATGGAGAACGGGTTGCCAGAGAACTGCTCTGGGAGGGTTCCTGGTGGCTGGAGGGGCGGCTTATACCGCCCCTTAAATAGGGGAGCCAGAGCTTGGAGACTGGAAGAGCAGGTGGGGTGTCTTGTCCATTCTGCGGGGTGGGCAGGGCCAGGACAGCTGGCCCATCGGGCCGTTAGAGACTTCGAGTCCAGAGTTCCAGGGACTTGTCCAAGGGCACACAGCAGCCAGTGGCTAGCCAGTCATCCAGCAGAGGAGCAACGGTGGCCTTTGGCTTGAGATGGCCAGAGGGCCTCTTGGGGAGGGAGTTCAGGGCAACAGGCCCAGGTGGGCCAGGACAGGTCAGAAAGGCCTGTCATTGGCCTGTCCCTCCTAAGCAGGACCCCTGTTTCCCCTTTAAGAGGGGTGCAAGGCTATTCATATACCCAGGGCCTGCAGGAGGGCGGGTGGGGCAGGAACCTGGAGGGGGCGGGGACGGGGGCAGGAGCGGGCTTACCTGCTTCCCGCCACCGGGGCAGGGCAGGGCTGAGCGGGGAGGAGGAGCCGCCCCACAACCTGGACGCCCGGCGGCCGGCCGGACAGGCACCCGCGGGGGCCTCGGGTCAGTGGGGGGATGAAGAGGCAGTTGCACCGCATGCGGCAGCTGGCCCAGACGGGCAGCTTGGGACGGTGAGTGTCACCCCCCTTCCAGCCCTCACTCTTAACCCGCAGGACCTGAAAGGGAGTAGAAGGGTGGGGGGAGACAGGGCTGGGGGAGGCTGGGGACAGCTGGGAAGCCACCCTCTGACCGGCCAGAGTCCTCCCCTCTTTTTCTCCCCTCTGAACGCCACCCCCATCTCCTGGGCAGAGCAGGAGGAGCAGGAGCTGGCCTTTGGGGGAAGGGGCACCCCCATCCCTGCTTGGAGAGGGCTGCAGGGGGGATACGCTCTGACCAAGGAAGCTGGGTCTTCTTTGCATCCATGAGCCCCTGAGTGGATAGTCATCCCTGGCCTCATTTGTCCCCTCTGGACAATGGGGACAGTTAACCACCTCTGACTGCTGGGTGGGGGAGGGGAAAGGGTAGATTGGGGCCCCAAACCTTGGGAGAGGGGAGGAGACCGGGTCCTGGCCCAGCAGGAGGAAGAGCCCCTCTCTGTCCCTTCCCCCACCCCCCAGCCTGGCCCAGAGGCCTCCTGCTTCTCTGTCTTGCTTCTGCTTTTCCCATACTCAGGTAGAAACATCCCTGGGTCTCCCAGTTCCCACCCCCAGCCCCAGAGCCGGTGGAGTGGACACCGGAAGTTTGGGGAGCCCCTGAGGCGTGTCTTCCCTGCTCCTCTTCCCCAACCTCAGAAGTTCCCCATTCTCTGGGCCCAGGGGTGGAAACTGGGTGTCCAGAGACCTGGTTCTCATCTCATACTGGCACAGACACCTGTGTGAGCCAGGCAGTCAGTCCACCTTGCTCTGGGCTTCTGTGTCCCCATGTGTCCCATGTCCTCAGCTAAAGTCCAGAGTCCTGTGTGACTGACAGCCCAGGAATCTGAGCTCCCACACTTCCTGTTCTTGGGGCCAGCCTAGACCTCCTCTTCCCCTGGGGTGGACTGACAATTTGGGGGGTGAGCAGAAGAGAGCTTTGCCCCTGTGTCCCAAAGCTGGGCCCTGGGTGGCTTCCTCAGCCCTCCCTTTGGTTTCAGCCAGACACAGCCCTGGGTGGAGGAGGAAAACATTGGGTATCCTATTCCCGCCCCCATGGAATGTGCTCTGACTGGGATGAGGCAGGCGGGCCACCCAGGCAGGCCTCACCTGGGAGGGGCACTGGAAGCAACTGGGGTCCAGGTGCCCTGTTGGGGGGCAGGGGGTTTCCTAATCCAGGCCAGCTCTGCAAAATCTCTGCCCCCACCCTGCACAGCACTCCGGAGACTGCTGAGTTCCTGGGTGAGGACCTGCTGCAGGTATGTGCCTGGGCTGGCAGCGGGTGGGAAGGCAGGCCTGTGCAGGCCGTTGGAGCAGAGGGTGGGTAGGGACGCCAGTGGGGGCCTGGGTTGAGTCATTCCCCAAGCTGTTGGCCATGGGGTCCCCAGGCGGAGGGAAGAGAAATGTGGTTCTCGCTCTGGGGGAAACAACAGCCTCCTGTGATCCATAACCCCACACCTCACTTCCAGGTGGAGCAGCGCCTGGAGCCAGCCAAGAGAGCGGCCCATAATGTCCACAAACGGCTGCAGGCCTGTCTGCAGGGCCAGAGTGGCGCGGACATGGACAAGCGGGTGGTGAGTGGGGGTCCCAAGGAGGAAGGACCCGGGCAGGAGACTTCTGTCCAATGTGGGAACGAGGTCGGGGCTGGGGTCTCCCTGCCAGTCTGAGCCTCTGGCACCAAGGGCACAGAGAGTGCTCTGGCCCAAGGCCCCTCGGGCACTCCACTCATGAGGCCTTATGTCTTCCCCATCCCCTCTTGACTCTGCTTCTCTCTGCACCCATCCCCATGAGCCAAGGCCAGGCCTCCGACAGCCCCTGAACTCATCTGTCCAGTCAGCACCCAGAGCAGGCTCTCTCAGTTGGGCAGTCTGTGAGGGCTTCCTGAAGGAAGAGACATTTGAGCTGGCTATTGAGGGATACTCTCTGGTATTAATCAGCAGGCAGCACTTACTGACCAATTACTGCTGTTCTGTTGCCAAGACACGTTAATGCATCATGTCCCTGATGCTGGCAACAGCCCTAGGAGGAGGCAGTGTTTTACACATGAGGAAATGGGGCTTAGAGCTAAAGTTGCTTGCCCAAGGTCACTCAGCTAGTAAGTGGCAAAACTGAGGTTAGAACCCTGGTTTCTCTGATGCCAAAACTAATGCTCTTTGTAACTCCAGGTGAGAGTATGTGGGGCGTGTTTTGGAATCAGCCAATGATTCAGTGTGGTCAGAGCATGGGGGGCGGGAGGGACAATGGGAGCCATGGAGGGTTTGAGCTCAGCAGTGGCTAGCCGTCCACATGCGCCTCGGGGCAGGGGAAAAGCCCCACTCAAAGCCAGCACCTCCCTCCGCTCTCCCTCCCACCTGTGGGCAAGCTCCCTTCTCTCTCTGCCTCTTACTCTCCCAATCTGTGACGGGACTTGGTCCTTCCTTCCTCCCCAATCCAGTGGCTTCTGGGACGGGAGAGAAGGAACCCCAGATGGGTGGGGGCTCTGTATACAGTCACAGGGAGATGTCACCCCCCGCATTCCCCATCGTCATCCTGTTTCCCCTCTCGCCTGGGACTGTGGCCCTCCTGGGTTTCCTCCTCCCCTGCCCTGAGGGGCTCCCCCGCTGCTCAGGCCGGGTGGGGAGCCATGGACACACAGACTCACAGCCGGCCCCACCCTCCTTGCAGAAGAAGCTTCCCCTCATGGCTCTGTCCACCACAATGGCCGAGAGCTTCAAGGAGCTGGACCCTGATTCCAGCATGGGGTGAGCATGGATGGTGGCCTGGCCCTCACCTGGGATACCAAGAAGCGTTCTGGGCTGGGAGGGGGTCCAGGTCAACCAGGGCATCCACTCCAGAAGGATGACCAGGTTGGCGACAGTGTACAGGTCAGGGAGAGTGGCCAGATCTGGGAGGGTATTTCACACAGTGAAGACAGAGGAGGGATAGCAGGGCAGGAAGTGATGGGGAGGGGAGGCCCCACCAGGTGTTTCCTGGTGGGATGAGGGTCTGGGAACCTGGGCCCACTGGGCACTATGTCCACAGGAAAGCCCTGGAGATGAGCTGTGCCATCCAGAACCAGCTGGCCCGCATCCTGGCTGAGTTTGAGATGTCCCTGGAGAGGGATGTCCTACAGCCGCTCATCAGGCTGAGTGAGGTGACCCTGCCCCCTGCCCCCATCCCCCAGCTTCCCCAGCCTCTACCTCCCTCTTCCCCCAACCCACTGAACCCCTCCTTCCCCATGTCTGCCCCCAGGAGGAGCTGCCAGCCATCCTCAAGCACAAGAAAAGCCTGCAGAAGCTGGTGTCCGACTGGAACACCCTCAAGAGCAGGTGGGAGCCACAGCCACTGGGTGGGGCGGGCCCACACTTAGGTCAGCTCGTGGAGTTGGCCGTAGAGCTTTGAGGCCCTTGCCACACTAGGAGGACACCGCAGGGTCCACCGGGTACAGTCTATATACTTGTGCATAGGTCTGGTCTATAGGAACACATATAGTGAGGGTACATGCTGGGGTGTACATGTGCTTGTGACAGCTGGGTCTGGGGGTGGCCCCAAAGCCCAGGAGAGTCATAAACAGTCCTCCAAGATTTCTGGGTGGCAGGAGGGTCTCCACTCTCTACTCTGGAGCTGGGTGGCTGTGATCACCAAACCCGCCACCAGGGGGCGCCCCCAGAGCACTCCTGGCCCAGGCTGGGCAGAGGTCCAGGGCTGGTGGAGCTTTGGGATTTGCATCTATAAATCCTAGAATCCGGTGTGGTCAGGTGTATGGAGGGGACACCTGACTCTGGACATGCAGGGCCGCTGACCACTCCTCCTTGCGATCATCCCAGGCTCAGTCAGGCAGCCAAGAACTCAGGCAGCAGTCAAGGCCTGAGCAGTGGCCCAGGTAACTACAGCCACACCGCTGCAGCCAACAAGGTGGAGACGCTGAAGGAGGAGGAGGAGGAGCTGAAGAGGAGGGTAGAGCAGTGCAAGGTGAGGGCACTGTCCCCATGTCACAGATGAGGAAACTGAAGTTCAGAGAGATGATGTGGCTTGCCCAAGGCCACACAGCTAGGAAGCAGCAGAACTGGGGTTTGAATCAAGGCAGTCAGGCTCCAGGGTCTGTGTACTTGGCCATTACCTTGTAGCCTCTTCTGTCTACACCACACACATGACACCCGCAGGCAGAGACTTGGCCTGTTCAGCCAAGTCTCGGTGCGTTTGCTGAGTAAGTGAATGAATGAGCAGAGTGAATGAAAGAACGATTGAATGGCAGATAACAAGACACTGTGCTAAGGATATGGAGACACAGAGGTGAGGACTGGAAGCCACAAAACCCCCTCAAAAGTTCAAGAGGGTTCCTGTGGGCTGGCCCCAAGTTCAGACGTTGGCAGAGAGAGCAGAGCTGGCTGGACCCTCCATGTACAGTGTGTGGCCCTGGGCAGCTCACTAACTCCTCCGAGCCTCACCTGGTGTGATCACTCCCCTCTCTGTCCCCCAGGACGAGTACTTGGCCGATCTCTACCACTTTGCCACGAAGGAGGACTCGTATGCCAACTACTTCATTCATGTGAGTCCAAGACTAGGCTCAGCCATCTGGACCTCAGGGGGTGGATGCCAGAGCCAGGGGCCACTGGGACCCCTGTGAGATGGTGGGGGTGGGGTCTGCTCTTGTGGACCCTGAAGAAGGCTCAGCTCCCCTCACGTGCCCCAGGGATGTCCCTTTGTCCCGACAGCTCCTGGAGATTCAGGCCGATTATCATCGCAGGTCACTGAGCTCACTGGACACAGCCCTGACTGAGCTGAGAGAGAACCACAGCCAAGCAGGTGGGGACGTACGTGGGGCCACCTCCACACCCAACTCTGCCCTGCTCAGGGCTTTTTAAGAACTTGCACTTCATCTTGAAGGGCAGTAGGGAGCCGTGGATGAGTTCTGAGTGGGGGAAGGCCAGAATAGATTTGTGATGGAGAGATTGTTCTGGCTGCTGTGTGGAGGATGGAATAAGGAGGCAGGACTAGAGCCAGGAGACCTGTTAGGAGGCGAGGTGATGGTGGCCTGGACTAGGCCAGAAGCAGTGGAGGTGGGCAAACTCGAGAGATATGATAGATGATTTCAGATATGTGCATGGTCAGTCAGGTGGAAGGTGGTATCACCTTGAGGACATCTGGGGGGTGCCCTTGCCTGACTGCCCAGGAGCGGGAGGACCCTGGGC